ATTTTCAATACCGTCTGTACCGTCCTATCGTTAGTCTGTTTAGCTCGATCATTTTCTTCCGATTGTTTGTTTCGTTTTCAACAACCATTTCGAGAGAATATTGAGACAATGAAACCCTTATACCAAGTCAACTTACTATTCTGCCCATTATCTCTAGCCATTTGCTACACTGATCCCAATCACTCAACTAGCCCAGCCCAGCATTCAACATTTAATTCAGGCTGATTCATCCTGAGCCCCACCATTATCTGCCTCAGAAACCGATTTAGGCATTGTGCACCTGGTACACATTTGTTGAGTTGTAGTAGATTATCAGCCCAAAGTGCTACTGCATACCTGATGAAATGTAAAGCATAGTCCATCGGCGCAAGTGGTGGCAGTGAAGCGGCTGAGCAAGTGCTGGATTGCAATTCTCTGACACTTTTCGTCTAACTTGCTGGTCCGGTTGTCCCAGCAAAATCATTTGTCAAACACTCGCTGTGTCCTAACCAACCAAGCACAGCTACATGAATGCATCTTGACGGCGAGCAGGGTACGCAGGACTAAAGCAGATATGGCGACATTTCACTGAAGTTGAAAAGTCGCGTATACTGTGCCACTGTACGATCAGTTCCACTTTATATATATATATATATATATATATATATATATATATATATATATATGGTGCTATTGTTTCATCGTCTCTTCCACTGATTTCGAACAAGTAAATTCGCTCTGGCTCTCTGCAATTTGATTAGATCATTTTCAGCGAATTTTGCAACTTGGATTCTATCAACCTGACATGAGACTCTGATCACCAGTTCGCAATGTTCTTGATGCCCTTGTTGTCACTTCTAGTCCAGCCGTGCAATGATGGCACTCCTGTGATGCACAGTCGAAGTCCTTTGGGCATTCTAAACACTCGAAGCGGTGGACAATGTATGGGTTCCCGATTGGGTTAACCGGGCAAGCATCAAGTCCCTTGTTGCTGAACCATCCGACCGATCGATCGTGTGATTTCCGGATCCGCACAGGAGAGGTTATGAACCTATGCTGCCCAAGTGTCGGTAGAGAATTATTACAGGAGAATCAGTTT